TGTCCCTCACGTGTGGACACCCAGTCTACATTTTCTGAATGTTTCAGAGCCCAGATTGCTTCTAGTTCATGTTTTCAGTGCCCCGTCTTGGAGTGTCTGTGCCCCTCCGGCCACGATGGCTCGCCCTCTCGTGGGCCCTGATTGGAGAAGACCTCAGCGCAGTGCAAGCCAGAGCTTACGTCTTTCCATCCAGCTACAGTGTAGACATTATCTCTGCTGTATCTTTGGCAGTGAGCACGGGGCCAGGCGTGTATTTGGCGAACAGAGAACACAGCTCTCTGTTAGGGCGGCGGGCGCATCCCCTCCAAAGAGAGAGAGAGAGAGAAGGGAAGCAAGTGTGGGCTTGTGACAGGAGCCGCATTACTGTACAACACGTCACGGAGCTTTGTGTGACCTGGACAGTGACGCTGAGGTCGGAGGAGCGACCCCGAGGGGCTGTGCTCGCTGCATTTACAGTCATGCTTTCCAGTCATTCACCCGGGAAACCAGACACTGCCGGATTGATTCCGACTCATGGTCTCCTCTGTGTGTCGCAGAAGAAACTGCCCATGGGGTTTTTGTGATTGTACTGTTTCACAGAGGCCAGTTGCCAGGACTTTTCTCCACAGCACTCCTACTTCAAAACCCCACCTCTGAATTAGTAGCCTGTCACAGGCTGCTTGCACCACGAGGACCCCGCAATATTACATATCCTGAAATGTTAACCTGTGTGATGATGGATAGACTTGTTTTTCCTTTGACACTTTAAAAGACGTCAAGGGGGAATCAGCTTACAGAATGCTCACATGAGCGTCTTCACGCCATCCGGAAGGTCGAGAAGGATGAAAAGCACCCAAGCTGCCCTGAGGTCTTGGTCAGGGTGGGGTTCCTGCCACCTCACCGCTTCTCTCTTACCTTCCCCAGGAGCTCAATGAGCTAAAGGACCAGATTCAGGATGTAGAAGGCAAATACATGCAGGGCCTGAAAGAGATGAAGGTACCCAGTTGATTGCTGTGTGCTGCCCATTAACCCCTTAACTCCAGAAGAGGCCAGGCAGAAGGTGTCACACTGCACGTGGCTCTAGATTGTAGCCTCGAAACAGCAGCGTCACCAGCCTTGGAGCACGCACGTGCCACCTGTCCAGCACAGTTTTGAACCAAGACTTTAACAATAGTACCCCTCCTGCAGAGAAGGTGGCTAGCACGTCCTAACGCATCCCGTGTGCTTGCTGTCCATCTTACTAACCCCACCCCAGCTCTAACCAGCTTTTCCCCTCCTGCCCGAGAAGTCTGCCCTACCCTGAAGACGCACACCTCACTGCCATGTAGTCGAGCCTGACTGACGGTGACCAGCTTTCCGAGACTGGAAATCTCTAGGGGAGGAGTCCACCCACTTCCCCTGTACAGTGGTGGATTTGAACTGCCAGCTTTGGGGTTAGGAGCCGAGCACATTGTATCCTGCACTACCAGGGCCCCTTCTCCTGGAGAAGGGTTCCCCATTTTCTTTTCTATAATAATTACACACAAGCCACACAGTACTTCATCTGTTTCTCACCGTATTCAGCGTCTGTCACTAAGCGGGCTCTCGGGTGCGATGCTTTTGAAGTCCCGTGTTGTTTGCATGCTGTGACATTTTAGCAGCTGAAGGAGGGCTCTGTGTGTGTCACCTGAGTTTTTTTGGGGTGCATGCATACCATGTGTAGAAAGAAGGATTGCTTCACTGGATTGGCCAGGAACTGTGGAGGTCAGGTTCCTCAAGTCTCTTGAAGGCAAAGTGGGCATCTGGTGACCGATTTCTCGCTGTCCCCACTCATCTCCGATGCCACACTCAGTCGGGGTGCCCACACTCAGTCGGAGTGCCCACACTCAATCAGGGTTCCCACCTCGGGGTGCCCACACTCAGCCGGGTACCCACAC